TTGAGATGGATGGATAGAAAAGCCACAAAAATATCTTACATCAAAAGAGAGTAATATAGCTAAATACAGGAAAGCTCATCAGATCATAAAACATTTTATAACACCCATGTAGTTACAACTACTCCTTAAAAATAGTGTTCCTTTTGTATTATTAAATATGTCCAACACCTAAAAGTGAAAGTTTTTGAGTACCTTGAACTTGCAGACATATTTTAACATTTCTGTATAAGTACATCTATAAATGGAATACTGTTAAATGTTTAGCAAGAAAAGACACAGAGTAATGATGCCTGCTACAACATGTATGACCTCAGGAACATTATACTATATAAAAGAAGCAAGATGCAAAGGACTACATACTGTACAATTCTATTTATGTGAAAAGTTCATGTCAGCAAAAATGGTGAGGGAAAAACCTTCACAAATTCTCTCCTCCCTAAAAGCATGAGAAAACTGGCAAAAAAGTGGTCAGCATCAACTTTTTCAGAACTCTGGAAGTTAATCAAAAGCTTGCAGCCATTTAGAAAGTGTTTATTCCGGAAAAAAGGTTGAATCTCTGTAAGAAAAGTGAGCTTTGTGGCATTCAAGTTGGCCTATTACCATCCTCTTCTCTCCAGCTCCACAGGAGCGTTGCAAACCAGTGCCCACAATCATGGTGAAGTCTAGCAGCTTGGCAGCGTCTAGAGAGGGCAGAGGATATTGGAATTCCTTCAAAGCCTCCTTCCCAGAGAACTGTCATAATTTGACCTGTCTGGAGGTTTTTCAGAAGATTCCATTTGCAAGTTTGTCTTTATTTGACCTGACTGAAGCTTTTTACTGGGAGTGTTGTTGAAAACATTTAGATTATTTAACTTAATTGCTGCCTGAGGTGGTTGTGGAAAACAAGGTAATCATAAAGCTTAAAAGGCTGGGGAATGGGATGTTCATAGGGGCTTTGAAAAGCTCCAACGTAATCCTAGAAATGTAGCAGGCTATGCACAAACAAGGGCTGTGAACATATCCAGGTATGTGCACATGCTGAGAAAAGACCTGAGAAGGCTCTAAGCTCTCACCTCTGGCTGACCTGGAGGCTCTCTGTAAGGAGGAAGTGAAGGCTAAAGCAGAGTTTTCAACTGCCTGGCTGAGAGTTGAAGGGATCCCCCTACATGCGCACAGAGTCATTTTGCAAAGATTAGGAGACCTTTTTGTTTCCAGGCATTTAAGGAAATCTTTGTCCAATCATTAGCTGATCATGAAGCTAACAATGCAGAGACTTTAGTGGACACACATGACAAAGAATACAGACTTTACAGAATTCATTCAGAAAAGTTGCTAAACAAACAAACAACAACAAAATAACAACAAAAAACCCAGGGAGTGAGGTGAATATGATTTCCAGAGTTACCACATTATATTATTTTAAATGTCCAGCTTTAAATAAAAAATTATGACATTGCCAAAGAAACAAGAAATTATTGGTCCAAGTCTTGTTTCAAGAAAGTATGGACTATGCAGAGGGAGGGGATGGAGTATATACACTGTCACTGAGAAAGACCAGATATTAGACTTATAGAGAAAGACTTTAAATAAATACTTTAAATATGTTCAAAGAATTGAAGGACACCATGTGTAAAGAACTAAAAAAAATATATATGAGAGCAATGTTTCATATTGAAAGAAGAGAACACAGATAGCATCAATAAAGAAATAGAAATTATAAAAAAGAACCAAATAGAAATTCTGGAGTGGAAAAGTATAATAACTGAAATGAAGAATTCACTAGAAAGGCTGCTATGGACTGAATTGTGTCCTTTCCCCTCCCCCATTCATATGTTGAAGCCCTAAGCACCAGTATGGCTATATTTGGAGCAAGGAGGTAATTAAGGTTAAATGAAGTCATAAGGGTGGAGCTCTGGTAGGATTAGCATCCTTATAAGAAGAGACACGAGCGAGCTCACTCTCTCTTTCTGCCTTGAGGACACAGCAAGAAGGCAGCCTTCTGACAGCCAGGAGGGGAGCCTCACCAGGAACCAAATCAACCAGCATCTTGATCTGGGACTTCTACCCTCCACAACTGTGAGAAAATAAATTTTTGGTGTTAAAGCCACCCAGTCAGTATAAGGTATTTTGTTATGGCAGCCCAAGCTAACTAAGACAAGGGCTCAAAAACAAATTTGGGCAGGCAGAAGAAAGAATCAGCAAACTTGAAGATCAATTGAGATTATCCAGTCT